CACGTAAAATTTCGAGATATTAATTAAAATATTTGGGCAAATCAGAGCGCACGACGCGACAAGCGGGACATACGGCTCGCCGCGGTCGGCGAAGATTGCTCGCGGGCCTAACATACTGTGTCAGATTTAAGACGTAGTCCCTACCTCTAGGTCTATGAGATAGGCCCGCGAGCAACCGTCCATTTTCTTCGCCGCCCGCGGCGTATGTTCCGCCTGTCGCGTCGTGCGCTCTGATTTGTCCAAATATTTTAATTAATATCTCGAAATTTTACGTGGTTGTTTAAAAAATGACCTCTACAATTTTTGTTCACTTTTATCTGTTCTACTTATATTTTTCTTTTGGCACGTCTTACGCGAGACACCCTGTATAGAGGGTACAGATATCGATCAATATTTATTGATCACTGATTAGGAATCGAACAATATAACATATTTGTTATAAAACAAATTTACAATTCTGATTCCCTCATTTCATACCTATTATTACCCATACAGTACAAATCTTCAAAGGACATTCTAAAGACGTTCTAAGGACATTCATACATCCTAAGAACGTCCCAAACATTTCTCAAAAGACTTTGTATTATCAGGGTATTATCATAAAAAGCTTTTTATGTTAAAAATATGCAAATAACGTTTTACAATGTAACGAAATTTGATTATTCTATCCCAGAAAAGCCGCTGCGTATTACTTTCCCGCGTGTGGAAGATCATATCAAGCGAGTGTGTGTACTGAACTCTATATCTTTTCCTGTAACTCATAGAAGTTCAAAAAATTCATAAAAAGTTTAAAGATTGTACAAATATTGCTTCATGTCTCAGAAAATCTATAAATAAATCCATATTTAAAAATATATAAAATATAAAAATTTTTAAGTATATTTTTAATAAAAATATACTTTTCAATCGCTCTAATTCCATTATTTTTCAGCAAGTTTTGCACTCTAAGGCATGTATTATAGATATGTACTGCATATCTTGAGTTATTGCTCACATTTTGATATGTGATTTCATCGTCAAATCGCTTTTCCTATTACTTTGCGGAAAAATTGATAATATAAGTAAACATCCATCTAAATCGATTTTCGGTGACGTTCTACTCCGCACGACAATTCGCAATCTGTTCTTCACATCTGTCTCTTCAATATGTTCTGTCCTATATCATTGCATTTAATTTTATGCATCTTTTTGCTGCATATTTGGAACTATATCGTATAACTTTACATATCAATTGGCAAAAGATTAAAAAAAATATTTTATCGAAATTATACACACACACACACACACACACACACACACCACACACACACACACACACACACACACACACACACACACAGTGTGTCCCATAAGTTCGGCAACGGCAAGAAAACTCGGCGGGGGAGCATTTTAGAGAAAAATGATTCCAATAAAAGTTGTAAGGCTTAAAAAGTCGCATTTAATGACAGTAGTTATTTGACCTAAGATGACGTCGCCAAGGTCAGGACAAGGTCAACTTTGCTTTTTTAAATAGAAATACATATTTTTTATTACGGGATTTTTTTCTACGTAAAAAAGCAAACAACTTTTGCTTGAAAAAATTTTTGATACGACCTCTATTTTCTAAGATATTTACGTAAAATCTACAAAATTATTGATTTCAATAATTTTTTACTTGAATTCTATTAACTTTACCGAAAAATATTAAGAGATAAAAATTGCTTATTTTGTTTTCAAAGAGCTCTGAGAATTTTTTAAGAATTTTATGTTAACTTTTTAGTACTTCAAGAAAATGCAAGAAAATGCAGTACTAAAAAATTAATATAAAATTCTGAAAAATTCTCAGAGCTCTATGAGAACAAAATAAATAATTTTTATCTCTTGATATTTTTCGGTAAAGTTGATAGAATTCAAGTAAAAAATTATTGAAACCAATAATTTTGTAGATATTTCCATAAATATCTTAGAAAATAGAAGTCGTATAAAAATTTTTTTCAAACAAGAATTATTTGTTTCTTTACGTAAAATACAATTCCGTAATAAAAAAAAGTATGTTTCTATTTAAAAAAACAAAGTTGACCTCGACTTGACCTTGGCAGCGCAACTCAAGGTCAAACTAATGGTATCGTCTTATGCCATATAGCTTTTGTTTGAAACATTTTACCATATCTTCCATATTCTTCGAGATTTTTGCCTGGGGCATTTAAAACAGGACACCCTGTATATGTGTATGTGTGTGTGTGTGTGTAAGCAATAAGATCGCTGTTGGCTTGTGGCTGCCGCCGCGATTGTCAACTCGCCGGTAATAAGACAAGGGCAAACAAAGATTCGCTGTCCGTCTGTGTCTTTGTCTAACTCATATCAGTCGCAGCACGGAATAGAACTTCATCGCACTTACCACGCAGCTCGTACACTGGACAAGGTTCTGATTCTCATTACTGCTAACTATTACTCTGTGGTCGATTCGGAATTCTCGACTCTGAGTTGCGTCTCTAAGGTCAGGCCGAAGTCAACTTTGTTTTTTTAAATAGAAACATATATTTTTTTATTATGGAATTTTATTCTATGTAAAGAAGCAAACAACTTTTGTTTAAAAAAATTTTTTATACGACCTCTATTTTGTAAGATATTTCCTAAAATATTTATAAAATTATTGGTTTCAATAATTTTTTATTGGAATTCTATCAACTTTACCAAAAAATAGCAAGAGATAAGAATTATCAATTTTCTTCTCATAGAACTCTGAAAATTGTTTCAAGATTTTTAAAAAACTTTTTAGTACTTGAAGAAAATGCAAATTACAATACTAAAAAATTAAGTAAAGAATTCTGAAAAAAGTCTCAGAGTTTTATGGGAAGAAAATAAACAATTTTCATCTCTTGCTATTTTTCGGTAAAGTTGACAGAAATTGAGTAAAAAATTATTGAAATCAATAATTTTGTAGATATTTTCGTAAATATTTTAGAAAACAGAGGTCGTATAAAAAATTTTTCAAACAAAAGTTGTTATATTCTTGACGTAAAATAAAATTCCGTAATAAAAAAATATATGTTTCTATTTAAAAAAGCAAAGTTGACCTAACTTTGGCAGCGCAACCCAAGATCAAACCAATGGTACCTTCTTATGTGTTTTATTGAACCATGTAACTTTTGTTTGAAACATTTTTCCGTATCTTCCATATTTTTCGAGATTTTTGTTTGGGACATTTAAAATGGGACACCCTATGTATCATTATATGTATATTTTTGAGAAAGGACGATTATAATATTGCAGCAACTTTCACGTTTTAATATGTAATATTATGAAATCTATAACTATTGTATAATGAATATATAACTATGTCGACTGGGTTAATTTTCTCAAACACTTGTATATATGAGTTTTCATATATGTATTTCAAGTTTTTTTTTCATTTAAATTTAAGATCGCGAGCTCAAAAGTGAAAACTATTCGTTTTATTTAGAAAATAAAGTTATGAGTTGCATAAGATTGATAAATTGATTGTTTTTTAACTTAGGCCTCTCGGTCAAGGCGCTTTCGGCGAAGTTCACGAAGGCCGATACAAATACAGACGTGGACAGCACCCGGTTGCGGTGAAAACGTTGCTGACATTATCCACGCCGCAGGCAGAAGCCGATTTCATGATGGAAGCGTGTATAATGAACAAATTTAATCATACTAATATAGTGCACTTCATTGGAGTCTGCTTCGATAAACATCCAAAGTACATCGTTCTCGAGTTATTAGCCGGAGGTGACCTGAAGAATTTCTTACGTGAGGAAAGGCCTCGACGAGTGAGCATTGTTTTTATTGTTTATTATTAATTTTCACGAATATCTTCTCATTAAGCGCTATTACTGAAAGTAATTGTCAGAAGTACCAAAATTTAACAAGACAAATTACATAGCATACAATATTGACATTTTTATCGATTTCGAACTGCGTAACGTTTATTCGAGAAATTTTAAAATATACTTCATCTGATCTCTAAAGTTCATGTATACATCCTTGTTTCGACAGGATCGATCTACAACATTGACGATGCGCGACCTCGTTATGTGTAGTAACGACATTGCGAATGGTTGTCAATATTTGGAAGAGACGCGTTTTATACATCGCGACATCGCCGCTAGGAACTGCCTATTAACCACAAAAGGTCCGGGGCGCATCGTTAAAATCGCAGATTTTGGAATGGCAAGAGACATCTATCGGGGCGATTATTACAGAAAAGAAGCTGGGACGGTGCTACCTATAAAGTGGATGTCGCCTGAAAGCCTTTTTGATGGCATATACACCACAAAGAGTGACGTCTGGTAAGTGATTACGCTACTACTATGATCTTATTCAATTGTAAATAGAATGAATATCGACTATTAAATACGCGTGTTTTATTTATTTGTCTATATGATCGTATTTTCTCAAAAATAAAGATATAACAATAGAAGATCTTTATATATCGAAAAATTTTCTCGAAACTATAAACATTCATGAACCGAAGAAGCATTATATTAGTTTTGCCTAACTAGGGTATATTTATAATATCGGAAAAATTTCAAGAATGCATAAGAAATTTAGATACAGGGTAAATAATATAAAACTGTATGCAAGAGTAATTAAAAAAAAATATAGAAATTTCTTAACACCTTTAAAGTATACGTGAGAAAAATGTCCATACTGAATGTATCTTTTCTATAACATCCCAAATAGCAAAGAGAATCCTAAAAGAATTCATATTTATGTCATCAATTGTTAATAAGTTCTTTTGTAAAAAATTTTTTTTTATAAAAAGAATTCTGTTTGTTCTATGATATCTGAAAAAGAATTGAGAATTGGTGTCATAAATATAAAATGTCTAATGAATTCTGTTTGAATTCTCTGTACTATCTGAGACGTACCCATCTAATGCTAATAAAAATTTGGGGGGTTAATTAAATTATATATAAATATTTTTTAACATATTAATGATAAGAAATAATTTTAATTACAATTATAAAATCATATGAATTATTATAATTTGTATTCTAGTTGCACAATTCATTGTCCAATATTACTGTTACATTGGCCTAATATTGGTTACACGGTCTGTCCGAGAAGTTCCGGAACTAATTTTTTTTTACCGACAAGTGACGCCATCTGTTGGACATCTGAATGATCTTTTAGTAGGAACACTTAGCAGTAAGCAGTAATTTTTTCAGTCAGTTATGATCATTTTGTACTGAGTAATGTAAGAAACGACCATGCGGGAACACCTGAGGGCGCCACCTCACGGTGTGACAGCGATTCAAGCGCCGCCAGCGGGCGATATAGGGATTATCGCGAGGTCGTTAGCGCGCCGCGCGCAGGTCGGAAGCGCGGAAAAATATAAGCGAGATTCGTTCGGAATGTTCTAGAAGCTTTTGACGAGATATATATTACTGCCGGAATTCGGAGTAGAGAGAGTCCGTCATGATCGAGATTGAAAAGACTTAGAGATTAGTCGTTGTCGTAGTCGGAATATATTCTCGTTTCGTAAAATCGAGAAAAACCGTTAAGAGACTCTCGTGGAGTCTTCGATATTGTATCGCGAGATACGTCGAGTCTTCATATAGACAATAGGTCGTTATAATTGTATCTGTGTTTGAAAATAAACGTATAGAGTGGTTGTGTAAGAGACGGTTTATTATCCTTTCAACATAAGAGACAGAAATTACTGACAGTCACTGGGAAGTTCCGGTGAGGATCTTACAGTAACAAATTTTTGAATATTTAGATTTTTTACACTGTCAAAAAATTATCATAGAGCAGAGAGCTGTGATCAGAAATAATTTTAAACGAGGCACTACTGTAACTTTTCGTTACTACTTAAGTGTATTGGAGCGGCTTTGCAACAGAATCCGACGGGTCCGACCAGAACGGTGGACAGAAAAAGACTTCTTTCTGTTTTACAACGCCGTTTATACAGCTGGAATTGTTACACAGTTTTTGGCTAAAAAAACAAATCCCTGTATTCTGGCACCTTTCATATTCAATGGATTTATTTAAAATTACTTTTGATCACAGCTGTCTGTTCTATGATAATTTTTTGACAGTGTAAGAAATTTAACAAATTTAAAAATTCATTACTCAGTACAGAATGATCGTAACTGACTGAAAAAACTACCGCTCCTATTAAAAGGTCATTCAGGTGTCCAACAGATGGCGCCACTTATCGGTCAGAAAAAAAATCAGTTCCGAAACTTTTCGGACAGACCGTGTACATTCAGCCAATATATTCAATATACAGAGTGATTTAACATAAACTTCTATCCTTAAAAATACAAAATTCTAAGACAATTTTTTATTTTGTAAAACTTTATCCGAGATTTATTTTCTAAGATATTAGCAAAACTAGTTTACCTATCATAAGTCAGATATAAGAGGTAGACAGGGGCGACTCACCATCAGACGTGGGTGAGTGCCTGTTGCAATCAGCTGATCGCTATATACGAGCTGCGTTTTAATATTCACTGCCAGCATAGAAATCGATATTTTATGTTACATATACTAAAGATTTTCATAACTGGCAATAATTTCGTAAAATACATATAACTACAATAATACACGCATGCACATGTAAGCCATATTTTGCCTTTTTGTGTCTTTCTTTCTCTCCCCCTCTTTTTATCTCTTTCTTACTCATTAGTATTCACGCACAAATTTGAGATAAATAATTTTCACTAATAAACATATCCACATAACACAAAATGTCACAATGACATCACAATAACGTTACTCTGTGACAATAAATTATGTCGCAATGAAGTCACAGCGAAGTTATGGTAATGTGCGAATGTCCGCTTTGTCACATATGTAATATCACTGTGACATCATTATGATATGAAGAAAAATATCACATTGATGTATTTGTAACAATAACGTATGATACTGGTTAAAAAAGTATTTTGTAGTAACGATTGCAACTAGTCAACTTATGTTGATTTTAAATGTAGTTTAACTGTTTTATATAAATTCTCACTATTTTCGCACCTGAAAATTTATTCAACACTGGTCGGACGCGAACTCGAGAGTCACACACCTCCAGGTTCCTAGTCTACCATCTTGGCTACTGCGCTATTTCCTTAACTAATACTAAATGTTTTTTATTATTCCTATATGCAACCGAAGCACTAATTATAATTTTCTTATTGGGAGTGTGCATTAATTTTAAAAGATTTTCAAGAGATGGCGTAACTAGTACTATATCGCATCGGGCCATATCGTTACTACCTTCATGTCAAAGCACCATATGGCTTTAGTTTTCAGTATGTGTCATTTTGCCGAAGTGTAAACAACATTGTTTTCTTGAGCATTGAATATGTCGAATTTTGTGCCAACAAAACAATTGCGGGAAGCTTTGCTTTCTTGCTTCCATTTAAAAAAAGTGCTGCTGAAAGTCAACGAATGCTATCAGAAGCTTATGGTGATTATACTCCATCGATTTCAACATGTGAGTATTGGTTTCGACGCTAAAAAAAAAAAGGTGATTTTAACACGGAAGGCAAAGAACGTCCAGGCCAGCCGAAAAAGTTTGAAGATGAGGAAGTGGAAGCTTTACTCGATCAAGACCCGAGTCAAACGCAATAAGAACTTGCAGAATCATTAAATGTTGATCGATCAACGATTTCCAGACGTTTGAAGGCCATTGGAATGATTCAAAAGCATGGAAGTTGGGTGCCGTACGAGTTGAAACCGAGAGACGTCGAAAGGCGCGAAATGACCTATGAATTGTTGCTTCAAAGACACAGAAGAAAAAGTTTTTTGCATCGTATCGTGACGGGTGATGAAAAATGGATATGCTATGATAATCTGAAGTGCAAAAAATCATGGCCAGGCGAACCATCAACATTGACGGCAAAGCCAAATATTCATGGCGCCAATCTCATGCTCTGTATTTGGTGAGATCAGATGGGTGTAGTGTATTATGAGCTGCTCCAACTCAACGAAACCATCACTGGAGAACAGTACCAACAACAATTGATGCAATTGAGCCGAGCATTGAAGTAAAAACGGCCAGATTACGCGAAAAGACACGATAAAGTAATTTTCCAGCACGACAACGCTCGGCCACATGTTGCGAAACCAGTCAAGAAAACGTTAGAAGCACTTAACTGGGATATCCTACCGCCGTATTCTCCAGATATTGCTCCTTCCGATTACCATCTATTTCGATCGATGACTCATGGCTTGTCTGAGCAGCGCTTCCATTCTTATGAGGATACCAAAGAATGAGTCGATTCGTGGATAACCTCAAAAGATGTGTCGTTCTTTCGACGTAGAATCCACCTATTACCAGAAAGATGGGAAAAAGTAATGGTTAGCGATGGACAATATTTTGAATGATCAATTTGTAACTATTTTTTCACAATAAAGCCGTATTTTTACCAAAAAATCCTTTAAAATTAATGCACACTCCCAATATGACGCAACAATGACGTATGACACTGGTTTAAAAAAATATATCTTGCAGAAACGATTACAACTAGTCAGCTTATCTTGAGTTTAAATGAAATTTAGCTCTTTTGTTTGATTTCTCACTATTTTCGCACCTGAAAATTTTACTCGGTACTGGTCGAACGCGAACTCGAGATCTCAAACACCTTCAAGTTCCTAGTCTATCACCTTAGTTACTGCGCTATTACGATCAACTGAGATACTGAGTATTTTTTATTATCCCCATTATGCAGCCGAAGCCGAAGTACTAATTATAATTTTCTTATAATATTATATAGTACAACCACAAAAATAAACTATTTATAGTTTTAATATTTCATATAATAAAATAGAGGTTAAAGATACATGCATAAAATATTTATGTAAAATATGTTTACCTAGGTGTTGACATTACAAAACATTACAATTTAAAAAACATTTAATGAAACATTTTTAAAACATTAAAAATAATGAGATAAGTTTTCTTTTTTCCATTAAAAAGACATTTTTTCAACGTTTTTAATGTTTGGAAAAATGTTGTGATTTTTAATATTTAATACATTTATTTTAACATTTAGAAAATATTTTTTAAATATTAAATGTTAACATTTAGAAAAACGTTTTTTAAATGTTAAAATAAATGTTTATTAAATATTAAGAAACAAAATATTTTTCAAACATTAAAAAACATTATTTTATGAAAAATGAAAAATAATGAAAAAAGAGAAATTATCCCATTATTTTTGACGTTTTAAAAATGTCTTTTCAAATGTTTTTTTTTTAATATTGTTTGTCCATTGAGTAACAAAAATAACTAGTAAATAAGTAAAATATATTATATTCGTAATTTTTTTAAATATTGCTG